AAAGTCTATTAACCGGCAGTTGGCTTCTGGCTTCTAACTACCATCACCCCACTGTATGTCATATTCGACCCCTTACACAGTACTCATCTTACCTTTTTCTCTACCTTTGTATCTGTCTCTTTTACATCTTTAAAACAATCCTCTGTCCCCCCCTCTCGACTTTTTTCGCTTTGATGTTCCTCTCTCTCTGTGAAGCCTGAAGTCAACTAAAGGGCTAATGATAACTATCATAAAGCCTGCCATTTGATATAAATAAATATCTGTGGCATCACCGATCTCTCTGAAACTTCGTATTAGTTTATAGTTCTGCATGAGAACAAACAAATGCTTAGCAATGGTTTAGTACTTGTATTGATTCAGCAGTAATTCAACATCTATCATCTATCAGGTCCCAAAATAACTTTCTAATAAATTTAAACCAACAATAATTTGGCTCACAGATGTACTTGAAGTAGGACTGTGTTCATTTATGTGGGACACGGCATCGCTTAGAGCACCATCGCGTACATGCACGCAAGATCGGGAGATGCGGGTACAAATCTCTGTTCGCAACAGTACAACCAGTGGCCAATCAGACGCCTCCGTTTGTTTAACCTAATCCACCAAGATTATTGTTAAGCTCCCTGCGTGTATACTTTACCCACATCATCCTTACTGAGTAAATGTGTTCCGTACTGTACGTCTGTTTCCTCTATAGCTGGGCTATGGCTTAGCTAGTTCTGGGCGTCTAACCAGATGTAGGAGAATCTGCCACAGAGATTCTGAGTCAGTCAGTCTTTTCTAGTGTAGCAATCCGCTACATTCGTAATAATAGAACCTATTATTTCTCATTTGTTTAATTGACAGTGGCAAATTTTGTGAATTCTGCGAATTGTGAAATTCTCAGTATCTGATCACCCAATTACCTCGAGCTAGTTGGGCCAGCTTTTCCCAACTTTGCCTAGTTTAGTTAGTACGATGAACGTTGTTTTTTAGTTCCAACTTTTTCAATATGAAACATACAGTGGTTATGGTGTGTGTAATACCTTCATAAATTAACAACTCTAAAGTGGGGTCAGTACAAATAGAGATAAATATTGTATTATCTTTATTTACTCTAAGGAGAACCTGTGTTTGATGTGGTGATACAATTATCCTGTTTCGAATTTTTATTTTTCACTTCTAATTAAACCCGACCAAATTAAACAAGGGTCACTGAGTAGATTAAAAAATGTATCTTGGATTAGTTTTATTTTGCATAGATTCTAGTGAAAGATCGATTGTAAGCTACAAAGTGAGTGATTATTCAAGATTTGCGATTATCTCAAGTAGCAATAATATGAGCCATTTTAGAAACACAGAAACTAATTTTTATCGTTGAGAAGCTATAAATCATTGAAGCAACGATTTTCCTTGTAATAAAGTTTTGGCTTCGTATTGCTTCCATACCATTTAGTATTTCTTATTTCACTTTCTGCCTTTAGAACTTCCGCTATTCCGATCTATAAGGCTTCATCAATACGATACTCTAAGACACATTTTTAAATTCTTCTACAGGCAAACGATTGAACGATCATTTTTGCTTTAATATATTTCATAGACAATCTTTTTAATCCCATACATAATTTTCGACTATTGAAACACCAGATTGTTATAAATTCAGTCTAACTAGTCGCTTAGGTAAGTTATATTCCTTTTTAGTTTGATCTATAACAGTTAGGTCAAGTAAAACGTGTTTTATTATTGAAGTACATGTTTAAATTGATCTATGAAATGATTACTTTCACAATTAACTAGTATATTTTTAGATCAAGCGTCAATATTCATCAAAATATGCTGATAACTGGATGTATCATTAAATTATTATTAAGGTCTGTAGTTCGCTATTAATCTTCAGAATAATTATAAGAATTCCTTGTATCAAGTTTCGTTCTTTTGTTATATATACTTCAATTTCAGCCTAATACATTAATTTGGAGCGTAGTTAATTTTAAATTTATGTTTCAGAGAAACAAATCCAATATGAATATCAGCAAAAAAATTAGTCAAATTTTGGACCTTGGATATCGTGAGTTACTCTGGTTTATAGAATCTCTTCTTGCAATTTATTTCCATTCTTTGAAAATTAACATAGAATACAAAGCAGATATTCCCATAGTCATTCGTAGTAGTATTTTAAGACTAAAAATCTGAATTTCACAAATAAGAAGAAGGTATGAATATCCTTCATCTATAAAATGAGGTTTAAATGGCCGAGTTATAGAATTTTTAAAGATTTGTTTCTTGGAAATTGAGATCCAGATAATTATTTGAAGTCAAATTGTTACTTTTAACCTTAAGGAGATTTATAAGCAGTAAAAATCACTTAAAATAATGGAATCATGTAACTAAACTAACATTATTATTTTTTCTTTTGAATTGCAAATTGTAACTTTTTTAGAGGCTAGTTCTCAAAGCGACCTATGTGTTTGAAGCGATCGATTTAGAATTTAGCCTTCAATTTTGTCTTATTTGAAGCTAGTGGGGTTGGGCTGTTTCATTAATTCCATTTTAAGGCTTTGTAGTTGCTGCGTTTTTTATTTATTTACAATCTATCAGCCTGTGTCTTCTATAAAATATGGATATCACCGCAGACCAAACGTTATTTGAAAGTGAAAGGGAGTATATCGAGTTCCTAGATGAATCCGTTTGTGATAAATTTACTAATGTATCAATTATTTTAGGATTACTATAAGAATCGGATTAATCAAATGATAACAAACGAAAGCTGCCGCCTTATTATTAATATAAATGATCTGCGCCGCGAAAACCCCAAAAGAACTGAAGAGTAATATTAGATTTAATGATTTTTTTATTTAAGGTTGATTGCCAATTCTTTTGCTGAGATTCTCGCCTGCCAAAGAGCTCTTAAAAGATGTGTTCAGAATATAAATCCGGAATATGCTAAGAACAACATGGATTTCTTTATTGGATTCGAAGGAAGGTAGGTTCCATACAGAATAAGATTACCATTTTAGCTTTGGTGCTTTACACGTTTCTCCGAGAACGCTGTCCTCTAATCTTCTTGGACACATGGTTTGTGTTGAAGGAATTGTCACTAAGACTTCTGTTGTTCGACCTAAAGTCGCTTGCAGCGTTCATTACTGTCCAGCGACAAAGAAAACTATTGAGCGGCGATATGCTGACATGAGTAGTCTTGATGCTTTTCCTTCATCCGGTGCTTATCCAACAAAGGATGAGAGTGGAAATCTCTTGGAAACAGAATACGGTCTGTCCACATACCAAGATCACCAAAAGATCACCATTCAAGAAATGCCAGAAACAGCTCCTGCTGGTCAACTCCCGAGGTCCGTGGATATTCTTATGGATAATGATCTTGTTGATTCCTGTAAAGCTGGAGATCGTATTCAAGTTATTGGTCAATTCCGATGTTTGCCAGGCAAGAAGAATGGTTATACTTCTGCTAGCTTCCGCACTGCGGTCATCGCTAATAATATTCAACTCTTTAATCGTCAATCGGAACCCAGTTTCTCAGATAAGGATATCAGTGTTATGCGTTTGGTTTCTAAACGACACGTAAGCAGTTAATAAGCCTTTCTTTATTGTCTCTAATGTCTTATTTTATGTCATCGGCATTAATCTTCTAGGACGTCGTGGATCTATTGGCCCGTTCCCTTGCACCTTCCATCTATGGTTACCACTATATTAAGCAAGCAATCCTTTACCTTCTATTGGGTGGCGTTGAACGGATTCTGCCCAATGGTTCACGAATTAGGGGTGATATCAATATCCTTCTATTGGGAGATCCTTCGGTTGCTAAGTCCCAATTTCTTCGTTTCGTTCTTCATGTTGCTCATTTGGCCATTCCAACTACTGGTCGTGGTTCATCTGGTGTTGGTTTAACAGCTGCTGTTACTACTGATCACGAAACCGGTAATATACTTACGTAGCTTGATTATATTACAAGTCTGGTGCTCTTACAACTGCTTTATTATTTTACAGGGGAGCGTCAGTTAGAAGCTGGTGCAATGGTCTTGGCAGATCGGGGTATTGTCTGTATCGATGAATTCGATAAAATGTCCGATATTGATCGTACCGCCATTCATGAAGTAATGGAACAGGGTCGTGTAACCATTGCGAAGGCAGGTATTCAGGCCCAGCTTAACGCTAGATGCTCTGTCTTGGGTGCTGCTAACCCTGTTTATGGGCGATATGATCAATATAAGACTCCTATGGAGAATATTGGTCTGCAAGTGAGAAGCCTCAAATATACTAATCTACTTATAACATTTCAGTAGTTGTGATGTTTCACTATTTTCTTTTAGGATTCATTGCTATCTCGTTTCGACCTTCTCTTTTTGGTGTTGGATAAGGCTGATCCTGAGAGTGATCGTGGTGTTGCAGAGCATGTTCTTCAAGCTCATCAGTATCGTGCACCAGGTGAACAGGATGGAGAAGCAATGCCTCTGCAGGATAACACTGTTCATCTAGCCACTTGCAATCTTGATCCTAATTCAGCCAACAATGCTGCTGCTGATGCTCGTAATAATGAGACTGATGGTCAGGTCTTTGAAGATCGTGGTGGATTCATTCGAGGCAGGGGTACAAGAAATACGTGAGTTCCCCTCATTTAGTTTGGTGTGAGAAATATATTAGCATAAACTGACAATTAAATGAGGCAGCCCATCGGCTATAGTGACGTCAGTGTGACTTTTGGATCGATATCCCTAAGATTTTGGACTTTTATTCTTATTTCAAATTATTTGTGTAACTGATCGATTATACCATGATTTCTAAATCGGAGTGTTTTAAACCTGTCATTAAATTTTTTGAATATTTTTTTTATTTATAGCAAATGACAGGCGTTTTGATAGTTATCATTAGCCCTTTAGTTGGCTTTGGGCTTCACAGAGGGGAGAAGGAACATCAAAGTGAGAAAAGGTGGAGAGGGGGAACAGAAGAGTGATTCACAGATGTAAAAGAAACAGACAGACACAAAGGCTCAGAAAGGGTAAGATGAGTACTATGGTAGGGATCGAATATGACATACAGTGGGGGTGATGGTTGTTTGAAGTGAGAAGTCAACTGCCTGTTAATAGACTTTTTGCCGTATGATTATGCGTTGCCCAGGTGCACTACATGGAGGTAAGTCTATCGCACACCTTATTTTTGAATGTAATGTTTAATTTATGAATTTTCACTTATATCCTTAGTTCATTTTCTATATTCGTACTATGTACACTTAGATAATTTATGTATGCGTTAACGTTAGAAACCTGAATCCGCATAAATCTACAAATTCACTGTTTAAGGTCGGTTGTTGTGGTACCTAGTTTCATAGCTTCATGAATTGGTCCCTCAAGCGAAAAACGGGTGTAATTCATTATATTTTTTACAGTTGTTTCTTT